TTCTGTGTTAGATAGCAAGGAATTATGGGGCTTTTTGAAAACAGAGAACATAATGAAAGCAAGAGAAAAATCTCTCTGCATCCCTCCTTTTTCTGTAAATGCATTTCAGATGTAGGCATGGTGTCTGGGTTTTTGAGGCTAACAGATCCAAAACGAGGTTCCATGTTTTTTATGGTCCTTTAGATATCAATAAGGAGCTCTGGTAGTTTAATACCTAAGGCACTTGACTGCTAACCAGAAGGCTGGTGGTTCAAACCCACCAGCCACTCCTCGGAAGGAAGATGGGGCAATCTACTTCCATGGTGATACTGCCTCAGAAACCCAAGGAGGGGTCGCTATGAGTCGGTTTGGACTTGACGGCACATAACAATAGCTATCAGTAGGAGCTCTGGTAGCATAGTGCCTAAGGCACTTGACTGCTAACCGGAAGGCTGGTGGTTCAAACCCCCCAGCCACTCCTCGGAAGAAAGGTTGGGCAGTCTACTTCCATAGTGATATCGCCTCGGAAACCCAAGTAGGAGTCACTATGAGTCAGGTCGAACTCGACGACACATAACAACAACAACAATAACAACATAGATATCAGTAGAAACCAGGGCAGCTTCCTTTTGCCTTACCTCCCTACTTTTTCCTATTTGCTTGGTTTATTTGCTCCCAGGGAATTATCCCTGGTCTTCTCAGTTCCCCTTCCAGGAATCTATTTTTGGAAGTTTTATACTTGATTGACCACATTACAACATAGATTAAACCAAAAGATAAAAACAAACAAACAAACAACAATAACAACAACAACAAAAAAACAGACCCACTGCCACTGAGTTTATTCTGACTCATAGTGACCCTCACTGGGTTTCAAGGCTGTAAATCTTTATGGAAGTAGATGACCTCATTTTCCTCCCATGGAGGAGTGATGAGTAAACCTTCAAATTAGTGGCCAAATGCCTTACCCACTACACCACCAGACCTCCTTACAACATGGATTAGGAATCAGAAACTCTGGAATCTAGAATACAAGTGCTTAAACAGACCCTAGAGAGAATCCAATCAAATCAGATATTTGCACAAGGTTGCATAGATAGTTAATGGTGGAATATGACAGGGTCATTTTTATTATCTCTGAAATTCTCTGCACATCAATGTTTCTATGATGTCTATCATAGTTTACACTCAATGATTTGTGAAATATCAAAGAAAAGAATACAGAAAAGGTATTTGTTTTTACAGTAATGCATAATTTTAAAACCATACTGTTGCCACTTTTAACTGTGTCCTGAATCAAGTGCTGTGGCAGATACTGAAAAACAAAAATAAGCAATTTAGCAAACAAATGAACAATACCAATAACAGCAACAAAAACACATGGACAAGTCTCTGCTCAAAAATGACTCCGATTTAGGAAATAGATAACAACAGAAAACAATGTCTAAAATTAATGATGCAGGAAGCACTGGGTATGAAAAAAATTAAAGAGAGGTCAAGACAAGAGTTAAAGAAGCCTCCTTTGAAGAAGTAGGATTTAACTAAACCTTGAAGGATGATGTAATAAAACTGTACATGTCTTGTTTGTAAAATTATTGGAGTTTTTTGAAACATAAATTGTGACATCCTTTTTAAATAGATGTTCTGGACATAGAGAGGGGAAAAGTGATAACTGACCAGGAAAATTGGCATGCAAACAAATTGTTTCTTTGTTATTATCCTACAATAAAACTTCATGAATTTACAACTATATCAACAGATGGAAGGAGAATTTATAGATTTTTTTTCTTATGAGAGGAGCAAAGAAAAGTAGTTCTTTGAGGAAGAGCAGGACTTTTCTACTGGGAGAGCAGTATAACTAACGGAACTTTGACACCAGGAATCTGGCTCGGTGCTGATGACTCAGGGATTGAAGCTCATCCAGTCTGCGACAAATCACAAGGTTTTTTGGGTAAGGGCTGTGTGTACATGGAATTGTTTTGAATCATAGGAAGTATGTTGACTTCTTTCTAATACAACAATTATTTCTCATTGTATTTATTAAAGATCTACTTGTGAGATAGTTTAAGTTCAGTGGAAGTAAATGAAGAATGGTAAATGCAACTAATTAATGAAGAAAAAATGTGAAAGGAAATCAAATGATTCTTTAGAAACACACTCCACACAGTTTTAATTACACAAATGATTCTTGCCATTGAAGACACAGCATCATGGAATTAGACTCAATATTTCCTGAAATCATTTGCTACATATCATTTGACACACTGAACAGTTAGCATGCATTGTTAGGCTGCTGCTTTCTTGTGGTTAGAACGAAGAGATTTTCAATAGAGGGTATGATGCAGGGAGGGAGAAGACCCCATTAATGTGGGCTTAGAATAGGGTTTGGGATAGTTGTCATCTCAAATTTTACTTGGTTGATGCTTACTCCAAATATTTAGACTTTTTCTTTGGGGTTCATTTCTATGCTGCATTCCTGAAGCTTGGAAGTGGCATGCTCTTATTCCAGAGCACATGCAAATCTAATGGAACCCATGACATTTATTTAATTACCATTCTAGCAGTGTGTATATGAAAAGGCTAAAATGCAACATACGATTAATAACCCAAAACAGAAAAAAAATACTGTATTCTATACTCTGATCAGCCACCCATATGTTAATAGTCAGAATGAAATATTTACAAACCAACTGAAAGACTCGGTCTTATAAACAGTGTTGAGAAGGTGGAAGGACCATTTAATAATATTCAGAGAGTCATATAAATAAATAACCAAACAACTTTTAATTTTTGTTCACTAACATTAATTCATTATTAAATTTCCTCAGTAAACATTGAACACATTTGTAAGTTGGACTGCTTGCACTGCATCATGAGAAACGTATTTAAGACTATACATTTTCAACTCTATGAAATCCAATAACTTTTTAAATAATTTGAAACAAGTAACAAAGGTGTAATGCACAGTTGATACAGGTTAGATATACAGATATACAAACTATAGAATCAATATTCTAAACTGTTTATTCATTTAGTTATAGCTGGTAAATATTTGTCTATCCATCTCTATTGCCAATTTACCCATCCACCCACTTATACATCCACCTATCCATTCATTTACAGATTCATATATTTTTCGATTTACCTTCTTCAAATCTATTTATCAACTACTCATCTATACTTCCATTATTTTTGTTTTCAGGCTAAGGTGATATAAATATTACACAGATATTTTACAATCTTTGCCAATGCAGGCCATTGGCTAATTATTAATGGTTACGTTGTTGTTGTTTGCCGTCGAGTCGGCCCCGACTCATAGCGACCTCTCCTTGGGTTTCCGAGGCAGTATCACTACGGAACTAGGATTGCCCAACCTTCCTTCCGAGGAGTGGCTGCTGGGTTTGAACTGCCAGTCTTCTGGTGAGCAGTCAAGTGCCTTAGGCACTGTGCTACCACCAGAGCTCCTATTAATGGTTACAAATCCCAGTAATTCAGTTTATGCATTAAATTTTTCTTCTGTGTGTAGGTCTCAGAATGAAAATTGCCAAAATGCCTTGAAGATAACCTGGAGGGGGGAGGGAGAGGAGAAAAAAGAGAACAGAGAGCAGACAGATGAGGGTACCTTCTAGGCTAGACTGTCATTGAATAGCTTTATGAACTTTGGAGAATCACATTATTCTCTAGTCCTCAGTTTATTCATCTTTAAAATAAGTAGATCTGACTAGATGATTTTTATTTTCTAAAAATTTCAGTAATTAACTATATCAGATATGTTGAAAGATCACTGTTCCTGTGTTCCTTAAGTAAAGCACTGTTGAACTTGGGAATAATAGCTCAGTTATTTGGAACCTTATTATTTACAGACTTGCTTTAGATTGAAAAAATTATTTGGTAAACATCATGGCACCAAAATAACTTACTACTACTTAGAAAATAAATAAATATCTGTATTTTTAGAGGAATGACATTGATTCTGTCTCTAACAAACACAATCTAGAAAAAGCTACTATGTGTCCATGCCTTAATTTCCTCTTCTTTAGGATGGTATTATGGGTTGGACTTTTTGCACATGACTCTAGGATCCTTGGCACCTTTGATGCATGTATAAGAGCATTAGAATTTTCTTGGAATTACTGCTTTAAAACTGTGTAATACACTCTAGTAAACTCAGAGAATAAAGATAAATAAGATAAATTTTTATTCTTCCTAAAGACAGATTACAAAAATACCAAATGGCAAATATTTTCACTTACCAAGAGTCCTTCATTGTCTTTTGTCTTTTGAACTAGAGAAGTCCATCCACTGGCACTGTTGTCAGTTACACAACTTCATCACTTCTCCAGTGTATAGGCTACTACGCTAGGTGCCAGTGCTTTTGTACTTTCTTCCTTTCTTAGAGAGTATTTCAAAGGACAGGAGAGAATCTTTTTTTTTTTTTTTAAAGCATATAATGTATTTTTACAGTTGTTTATTCTATATATTTCCTAGGTAGAGGCCAGAGTTTATTAGTGGCTATGAGGGGCAAGCAGGAGGGAGAAGAATGGGAGACTCGTTGCTGAGGGGACACTGAGCTTCTTTTGAGAGAGATGAACAAAATTTGGAATAGATAATTGTGATGGTTTAACAACATGATAAACATGATTGATGTCACTAAGTGATACATGGGAAGCATGTTAAAAGGACTAATGTTTTATTATATTTAGATATGCCACACACACACACACACACACACAAAACAAACTCATGAATGCTTTGAAGAGAGGAACATGCAAATCAATGTTTGTATCGGATAAGAGTTACTCTAAAATGTGGACTAAATTATTAAGTATGGGTTTGATAATTTGTAGTAAATGTTAAGTGAGGATTGATTAAATGTGAACAGAATTTAGTGACTGCTAAGGTTGAGTACAGAAATAGTTCTGCCTTGACTAATATTAATTTCCTAAAATAGGAAATTATGCTGACCAACTGACTGAGGTTAAGTAAATGCTGAACAAGTACTTATTTTTGTATGAGGAAAATTAAGGGATGTTATCAGTCTTGCTAGACTTAAAGATATGGCTACTCAGTTTCCTCATGGAATCCTTGACATCTTTATTTCTAAGGGTATAGATCACTGGATTCAAAAGGGGAGTGAAGATGGTATAAAATACTGAGAGCACTTTGTCTATTGGGAAATTTGTGAAAGGCCACACATAGATGAAAATGCATGGGCCAAAGAAAAGGGTCACAACAGTAAAATGTGCACTGCAAGTGGAGAGGGCTTTGGAGGACCCTTCAGAGGAGCGCTGCCGAACAGTGACCAGAATGATGGTGTAGGAGATCACCAAGAGGATGAAGCACACCAGGGCAATCATGCCACTGGTTGAGATCATAAAGACCCCCAGAATGTAGGTGTCAACACAGGCTAGTTTAATCACCAATGGGAGGTCGCAAAAGAAGCTGTCCACTTCATTGGGTCCACAGAAGGGCAGATTCACAGTAAATGCTAACTGACTCATAGCATGGAAGACACCAACAATCCAGGAAAGTGCTACAAACCCAACACACATTCTACGACTCATGATGGTTAAGTAACGCAGAGGCTTACATATAGCAACATACCTATCGAAGGACATGGAGATCAGCAAGACAATCTCAGCACCCCCTAAGAGATGCAGGAAGAATATCTGGGTGATGCAGCCTTCAAAAGAAATGGCTTTGTACTCACTGAGGAAGTCTGCAATCATTTTGGGGGTGGCAAAAGAGGCCAGAGACATATCAATGAAGGACAGATTACCCAGCAGAAAGTACATGGGGGAGTGCAGGCGTGGCTCTGACACTATGGTGAGCATAATAAGAAGGTTCCCCAGCACAGTAGCTGCATAGACTATGGAGAAAAACAAGAAATAGAAGATCTGGAGTTCCCAAGAGCTGGACAGACCTTGTAGTATGAATTCAGTCACAACTGACTGATTGCTCCAAGCCATTTACTTTGATCTCTGGAGGGACTCTGACGATTCCAGATGGGAGGAGAACTAGGAGAAAATACAGTGATCAAACTCAAAGTGAGATTTTCTGCGCAGAATGTTTTTGGTGACATTCACCACCAGAGAGTTCCCTATTGCATCCTTGCCCTACTTAAAGTAGTCACATATTACCCCCAATGGTCTTTCCAAATACTTCAAATGATTGAATTAAAAGTTAATTCTTTTGACTTAGAACTGTCTTACAATTAAAATGGAAATATAAACAAAAATAATACAAATTAAGCTATTAGACTATGTACTCAGTTTATGAAATACTTTATAAATCTCACAGCTAGCTGCTACAGGTTTTAAAGGGGAAGGGAACATCATGATAGTGCAAGACTGGAGGGAGATATGTTTGAGAGTCATGTCTGATTATTAGTGGAAATATAATCATGGAAATAAATGTGGGCTGTGGTCACTTGTCTCCCTGACATTGAGTCAATTCTGACTCATAGTGACCCTCATTGGGCTTCTGAGGTGGTTTCCTGAGTGGGTAGGAAAACAGAACATGACAGGATGGGAAATGGCTACAGAGGAATATCACTTATTTCAGCTTTTTAATCGTTTGTTCAGAGTATAAATGAAATAGCCTCCCATTCTTAGCTCTTCATTTCAGAGTCAGGCAGGCATTCTGAATGACTCTTGTCCTGAACACCAAGGTCATTCATTTTTAAAAAGGCTGGTGAATATGATGAGCTTCAAGACTTCATACTATTTCATATATATTTTAAATAGAAAGGTTCTGTTGGGTACCATACTTGCTGAAACCAGATATTTTTAAAGTGCTGAATATTATAGTTTATTATTTTTTTTCTCAAAGGAATTTGAAATAGGAGATTCCTCTGTTTCCAAAATTCATGTGGAACAAATATGAGACAGTTTTACATAGAGGAAGATGACGGTAATGGTGAATCTAGGAGAAATTATGTATCATAACTAGTTTCCACAATTACAACCAGACTTATTAAAGAAACTGCTTTCACTGAGATCAGAAAGACTTTACAAAGTGTATTGAAGCCTAATCAAAATGATGCATACCTAAAATCTGTGATAAAACTCTTCTCATCTTGCTACTAGATTAAAACTTTTCTTTTTCAAAGCCCTGTCATTAACATGCATCATAAATAAATTGTTCTAAGACAAGACCCAGTTTACATAAGCAATGACCCACTACTCACTGACTTTTTGTTCTGAAGTTTGGCGTCTTTTCCCTTTAGTTGATTACATATTATTATTCTGACTTTACCCATCCCAGAAACTTTTACATTATTAGATTCTTCACCCACATACCTGATATTAAAAAGATGTCTCCAGCACAGCTGTAACTTAGATGAGTGTAGCAGAAATAGCAATGAGCTTTGACTCAGAAAATGTGGATTCAAATCTTGGGCTAGGTATAAGATTTTTGGTAACTTATTTAATCAATTGGTGCCTCAGAATCTTCATACCTAAAGTGAGTGAGTTGATTTGGCTGTTTTTAAGGTCCTTTCCACATACATACTTGTGTTCCAATACTCAACTAATGCTTGGAAGTAGTGGCAACAGCTCCATACTGATCTTAAATCAATCCTATGTCTGATTTCTGGGCAAAGGAGGCTCATTGTTTTGGGGACCATTGTATTTATAACATTTGTATTGATGATGAATTGAATCAGTGAATTTCATAGCCTGAAAAAGACCAGCTGTTGCTTGGGGAATTTAAAAAAAAAAAAAAATCAGGCTGCAGTGGGAGTTATTAAAACATTAAAGTTGGGTTTGGCCAGAATTATACTTGGATCTCAAAATGTCCTGACTTCTTTATGTGCAGGGCGTTGATGTGGTAGGGTAAGGAAGATGTAAGGAATCATCTTATCTTGGATCACACAGCACTGATAAGAAAAATATTAATATTCACAAAGAACAGTGAATTGTAGATTTCTTATAAAAAGACAAAAAAAATGACCTTGTACTTTTTGACAGCATTGAAAAATACATATTCTCATTTATGTTTTGTTGGGTGGTGTTTCAGGCTTGGTTATGTAAACCAAAAATACCCACTGCCATTGAGTGGGTTCTGACTCCTAGTGACCCCCATTGGGCTTCCAAGGCTGCAATCTTTATGGAAGTAGATTGCCTCAACTTCCTGCCATGGAGCGGCTTGTGGGTTTGAGCTACTAATCTTCTTGTTAGTCTGCTAGCCTTATCCTCAGTACTGGCAGATCTACTCTATTTGGAGAAGGAAAATCAGTGAAACATATAAATATATAT